TTGGGCCATTCTCAGTTTAAGAATATATACATTCATTTTTTGGTTTGTATCACATTTAGATTGACCTGCTATTAGGAATCCAAGAGAACAGTTTCAGTTACCACTGACATTTCAGTAAAGGGATGATTATACTCCCAGCAGCAGTGTCTCGCAGTGAGCTTGTCGCAGATATTTTTGATTTATGCCCAATATTGAAGCGTTGTCTGCACTTATTCCACGCCACAATACAAAAGGGACAATCAGGAACTAGCTGTGAACTAGCTGTGGGTCTAGATACGGCCGAGGCGGTGAGGAAGTGGTGAGGTACGCAAGTTTGTGCGTCAATGGAGGGACATGAGGGCAAAAAAGAACAGGGATCCAGGTGGAAAAAGGGTCCCAGTTTTCTTGTGCACCAGTAAAAATCAGCCTTTAGGATGCTGGTTTTTAAGATCAATCATATCTCGGTTGCAGATTTAAGGCATTTTATTTGTTTGTGGATCATAACTTGTGCAACTACTGATGCAAACGCACTCATTTTCATCAGTAAAAAATTTCAAAATGTATATTCACTTTAAACAAATAATTGAATTTTGTTTAAATTTAAAAAGTAGTGTTACCAGGCAATGAGATAAGACAGGAGTTTTATAAAGGGAACTTTGACATTGTTCAAAAATTTTTAACAAAATTTAACACACAAAATTGTAAAATAGTGGAGAAATGTGACCACTATGTTTAACCCCTTCCCTTGGGGAACAGCTTTGCACACTCTGATTGGCACCAGGCAGAATTTTGGGGTTAAGGGTCCTGCACAAGGGCCCAAAATAATAGCCTGAGCTTTAAACCAACAACCTTTGTGGCCTTTCTAGAATGCAAATACCCTGCTCTCTAAACACCAGGCCCCCATTCCCTGCATTTATCTGAGATCCTGAGTGATAGTTGTTAATCCATAAAAACAAAAGACAAAGAGCAAAAGGAAGATTTCTCAAACCAAACAACTGACTATTAATTAAACCTTTTTTTGGTAATCATGGTCCAAACAAAGCCATGTAGTATGGATATAAACAAAAAAACAGCATGTAAATAAAGATTGGTTGTTTTAATGGCAAAAGGATAACAGTAAATAGAGCTGAAATCTTCCATTATGCAGAGGATTTCCTAGACAATAAATCATAAGATTCCTAATGGAATTTAGTCTCCAGTTTGGGTTCATTAAGTTCCTGCCATTTCATAGCTGAATTATTTGTCTTATCCCAGGTGACACTTAATATTTTCTTTCAGCCCCACTTCAGGAGTGATCTTACCCATCAGCAGGCTAGAAACAGCAGAACTAGAGTAACTACAGTTAGAGTCACAAATACGTTTGAGTTATAACCGTGTGGCCAGTAAGCAACCTCTGAGCTCTGACATGACTTTATGAATGAATGTCAAGATGTTTGTCATAAGGCAATTCCTCAGACGGACGGAGCCAAAGTGAGATCATCCAATAACTCAGCTACTGTAGAAGTTCCTTCCCTGGTGAGCTGATTGCAAGCCAAGACATGAAATCATGGATCTGCCATGTGGATGCAGTCAGAAGCCCAAAGCAAAGAACAAAGAAGGACTTAAAATAAGGAAATGGAGAATATTTACTTAAGAAATAATGTTTCCAAATGCCCATATCCTCCTTTTGATAATGGAGTAGGTATTTATACTGACACTGTTACACTCTAATTTGTGTGGCATTATAATAACTGGATTGTAATGATTTAACCTTTCTTAAGAAATATATTCGACTTTAATTTATTTTGGTCAAAGATTGTTTGATTTAAATTGATTTGAGTGTTTCCAAATCAAACAGGTTACTGTTTTTTGTGTCTTTCAAGGTAATAATAGTAACCTGAAGTTAGTTACACTAATCAAACAGAAACAAGTAGCGAAAAAATGAGGCACAGGCATTAGGAATTATAGGGCTGCAACTAATGATTATTTTGTAAA